TAGGGCTATAGGGATCTAGAGCTATAGGACTCTAGAGTGATAGGGCTATAAGGCCATAGGGCTATATGGCTATGGGGCTATTGGGCGATCGGGCTACTGGCATATTAGGCTATAAGGCTATAGGGCTATAAGGCTATAGGGCTATAGGGCTAGAGGGCTATGAGGCACCCGGGCGTCCGGGCACCCGCGCGGGCCGTGGAAATCTGTGGCAAACCTCACCTAACCATTTGAACCCGCTAGGACCCCTACACAGGCAAGCTCTGATTGTGGAACCTCTCCCTGTCGCACCCCGAGGCCAGTTTTGAGGGCGGGCTGGGCGTTTCGCCTCAGACTTCCTCACCAGTTATCATTCTGAAGCTTAAGCATTGACAGCAGCTTCACATATGGAGGGTGGATGGTGTTCAACATGTGGCTCTCGCCTTAGCGCCGCGCACATTCATTCTAAGCAGGGGTATGGGGCTATAGGGCTATAGGACCATAGGGCTATAGGGCTATAATTATATAGGGCTATGGAGCCATAGGGCTATAGGGCTATAGGGCTATAGGCATATAGAGGTGTAGAGCTATAGGGCTACAGGGCTCTAAGGCTATAAGGCTGTAGGGCTATCGGGCTATAAGGCTATAGGGGCTAAAGGGCTATTGGGCTCTAGGGCTCTAGGGCCAGAGGGCTAGAGGGTTATGGGACTATAGGGCTATAGGGCTGTAGGGCTCTAGAGCTATAGGGCTCTAGCTCTATGGGGCTATAGGGATATAGGGCTATAAGGCTATAGGGCTATAGGGTTGTTGGGCTATAGGGCTGTAAGGCTTTAGGGCTATAGGGCTCTATGGCTATAGGGCTATAGGGTTATGGGACTATAGGGCTATAGGGCTGTAGGGCTATAGAGCTATAGGGCCTAGCTCGATAGGGCTATGGGGCTATAGGGATATAGGGCTATATAGCTATAGGGCTGTAGGGCTGTTGGGCTATGGGGCTATAGGGCTATAAGGCTTTAGGGCTATAGGGCTATATGGCTATGGGACTATAGTGCTATATGGCTATATGGCTATAAGTCACCCGGGCACCTGGGCACCCGGGCACCCGGGCGGGCCGCGGAAATCGGTGGCAAAGTTCACCTAACCAGTTGAATCTTCTAGCACCCCTACTGATTGGGGAAGATTCATCTTTTCGTAATCGTATGATTGTTGTTCTGCTTGATGTACTCTTCATTACTTTCATGTTTTGCCTGGTGTAAGTTTTCAATCGGGATACTCATGAACTACCAGCTGTCCAACGCCCCAGGACAACCAGAAAAAAACATCTTATTCAAATGATGCAAAACAGCCAGTCACACCATTGCGGAAATGTTGTTTGTTTAACAGTTTCATTCGTGTTCCTAGCTTACGATGCGGGCCGATTTTCCGAGAATGGCCGAAAGTCAGTCCAAACGGCGCTCTCGCCGCGGCGCGGGCAGCACTTCGCCAGAGTCACCTGCACGCCGTGGCCAGTTTAAAAGCGACTCGTGAGGCTGTCTCAGCAGAAACCGGCTTTTTTTCCCGACAAGAACCGCCTGCATTACCAGCATCACGGCGCTGTATCGGAGTGTTGTCACTTTTGGTTTTGTCACACTTGGTCATAAGTTGCGTAGCGTCCAGGAGCAGTCAGGATTCCGTCTTGACAGACTCCAAATGCACAGACCGTTTGGATCGACCCTCATCAGGCCCGATCGCCGCCTCGGGGCCTCTTCCCATGCGATCCCCAGGCGTGCTTCGATGTTCACCAATAGCACACCAGCGCTAACCTCTCCATGTGCCGAGTGCCCCTCGGGGCCTCCCCCGTCGTTGCTGCTTGCCGATGGATCGACGTCCACGCATGCGCCGGTGCTGCTCTCCACGCGTGCGGCCCAGAAGGCAGCCTCGTCTCGGAGGCGACGATGGGGCCGTGGCTGCCCGCGGGGGCGCCGAGTGTCGGTCATTGAGAACAGCAAGACCCACACCAGTGAATGCTGCAGAATCTCCACGGCGGTCTTCGCTGGCGACTGGTGGTAGGGAGGGTCGCTGGCGCTCGGACTTGCGCGTGCGGAGGGAGGGCATTGCAGGCGTTCGCCCTGGAGCCTCGTCGACTGCAAGGGCGATCGTAGCCACTAGCGGTTGGCGTGATGTTCCTGGCAGGCTCGCGACACACACGTGAAGACCCATCTTCGACGATTGCATTGCTTACAGATCTGGATCTTGTTGCAGCGCAGGAGCGGCTTTGAGGGAGTTTTCGTGAATTGCTGGCAATTTTTTCGTCGCCCTAGCACTGGGCCGCCGCGTGGGATCGGTGCGGGGCGAGCCCTGCGAGGCGGGCCTGGGGGGGGGGAGAACGTGCGCGCCTGGCGTGGCGGCTGGCCCCCACCTGTCTGGTCCGAGCCAGCAGAGCCGGGCAGGTGCCCGACTGCACTGCGCTCCTTAGGAAGAGGGCGAGGAGGGAGGAGGAGTAGGGAAGAGGAGGGAAGAGGGGCGGAGGGTCGCCCTGCATTGGGCGACGGCGCGGCAACTGAGGACCGTCCGCAGGCCGAGACTCTTGCGCCACGGCGGGGGGCAAGGAAGAGGGAGGGACGGAGGAGGGAGGGAGAGAGGGAGGATCGTCGCCGCACGCGGGCACGACCACTGGGTGTGTTCCGGAGTCTGCTTCAGTGACCTTTCGTCAAAGAAAATTAAGTTTCTTCGGGGAGGGGCATATAAAAAGGAAAACTCCACACCCGACAGGCACGATAAACAGATCGAACATTTGAGCATGCACGCACGGCGTTGGTGAAACCGTGCAGAACACAGTTGTGAGCGAGCAAGGGCTGTGCTGGGGGAGGCCAACAAGAAACACCAACGGGCCGAGCGGGTCGGTGAAAAGGTGCTTGGCGAGCTACAGTTGGCGGAAGGAGCGGGCGGGGACAGGGGGCAGACAGGGCAGAGAGCCGAGTGGTTCGGACGAGGGGCTCGGGTCGGCCTCTCGGTGTGTTTACGTGCGCGCGGCACGTGGTCCGAAGGTGACCGCCGTCAGGGACGTAGTAGGGGTGCTCTTCGTTTTCCCGGTCAACCTCGGCTGTCTGTTGCAGTTTTGTCACCAAGGGAGAATGACATTCCACGCCATTGGTGTCATCGGTGTCCTGGCAGTTGTCGCATGCCAGCTCTGTTCGAGAGTCTCGAACAGAGCTGGCATGCTCCTGGCTGCTTTTGGGGGGAATCCGAAAATCGTACGGCTGACTGCGAGAGGTCGCCCACGTTGGGAGAGGAGCGTGCGGAAACACACATGGCGCTGACTTGGGCACCATCACAATGAGCCGCAGCACGAATAGAGCCTTTTATGCTGCCCAACTTCAAGACAAGCTGGACATGCGACTGGAACCTCGCAGCACTCCTCCGCGAAGCTGAGCTTGGAGGCCGTCGCTTGCGCCAGTTTCGCGCTGCCGTGGGGGACTGGGGTGGCCTTCGCAGGCGATCGGCGGCCCCGTGAAGATGCCGAAGCAGCTCGTAGCATACCGCATACCGCCGTGTTGCTGGGCTTGGAAAAGCCGCCGCCTGCACCATGGGTGCGACGGCGTGGCCGCAGGGGTAGTCCACGTAGGCGATCGGCAGTCCCGTGAAGCCGTGCACCTCGTAGCACGTTGCCTTGTTGTAGAGCGTGGAAGCCGCCGCCTGCATCAGGGACGTTGCCGTGACGGCAGGGGTGGTCCTCGTATGCGAAAAGCGGCCCCGCGTGTATGCCCAGCACCTCGTTCTACTCCACCGTGTTGTTGGGCTCGTAAGCGGCCGACTTTACGCCAGAGGAGAGTTGCCGAAGCCGCAGGGGAAGCCCTCGAAGGCGAATGGCAACCCCGTGTGGATGCCCGGCACCGTGGAGTATTCCAGCGAGGCGGAATACCCGCAGATATAGACGACGAAGCAGCCTGCGACAACAGGACATCTGGGGTTAGAACCATGATGGGGCGCGCTCGATTTGGGCAGGCTGGCACGCATAAGGCCGATGCGCCGAGGTGGGCCGATGCCCTGCGTGAAAGGACGGGCCGCTCGCGCACGGAGCCTTGAGAGGGAGGGGGGAAGGGAGGCGAGGGACGTCGTCGTCGTCGTCGTCGTCCTCCTCGCCCTCGCCCGCAAGTGGAGAGACTCGGCCAGGCGAATCTCGCCTGGCCGAGCTCCAGTTCGCCTACACGTAAGAGTAATGACCTTTCGCCGGAGCGACTTTTGGTGCGGGCCCAATGGGGCCCCCCGATCGCCGAACGCGATGCGGTAGTTGCGTCTCGCGCGCTCGTTGTTGGTCCCCCCCGCGGCCCCCCAAAAGCCGCGCACCAGAGGCCACTCTTGCCCAGGGTCACTCTTGCGTGCAGTCGACGAGTGCCCGCCCGCCCACCCGCCCGACCGCCCCCCCTCGCGGCGGCCGCGCGAGGCGGCGAGGCGGGCACCGCGCAGGGGTCCCCGGGCGTGTCCCAGCAGGCCGCCCCGGCCGCGGGCCAGCCGGCAGGGCGGGCGAGCCCGGCGCCCCCGTCCGCGAAGGACCTGAACAAGGCCGGCGGGGCCCACGGCGACCGTCGGCCGGACGACGACGGACCCGGTTCTTCTCGGGCCAGACGAAAGGGGGGGGGCCTAGGGGAAGGGGGGGTTACGAGATACCAGCTGCATGCAGCTGGTTTCGGCCCCACCGAGGGGTCCATACCTCGATACATGTCCGCCGTGAGGCGCCGGGAAAATCAGTTACATGAGCTGATTCTCAAACCCGCCCTTCGCTAGCCCCCCCTTTCGCCCAGCCCGAACGGCGACCGTCGGCCGGACGACGACGGACCCAGTTCCTCAGGGGCAAGGATCTCGGTGGTTCAGAGATGGGGTCCTCAGGGATGGGGTCCTGAGAATAGGAAGGGAACCAAGGGTGGACTTAATGTCCAAAACCGTTCAAAAAGATTATGACCCCCCCCCTCCCACCCCTCCCGGATCCCGACTGCCATTAATTCGCATCCGGATAACTATTTTTATCTGTCCCCCCTGGAAAATTCCATGGGTGCCGATCGATGCAACTTGTATATAACTCGGTACCAGGGAGAATGCCGATGTGACATTGTAGCTTGGTGTAGCCCCTTATGTCTAGCCTGGAGGGCGCGCTGGCCCTCGTTGTAGTCTGGTGTAGCCCCGCTTGCGTGGCCCAGAGGGGGGACGGCCTTCATCGTATCCTGGTGTAGGCCCGCAAATTTGGCCCAGAGGGCGTTGCGACCTTCGCTGTAACCTGGTGTAGCCTTGGTGCGGCCTCGAACTGAGCGGCTTGCTGAGGGCCTTTTTGGCCTGGAGGGCGATCCGGCCTCCGTCGTAACCTGGTCCAGCCCCTCTCCTGTCCTGTTGTTCCACTCTGCCTCCGCTTCTCTCCGCCTCGCCTCCCCGCTTGCGAAAACAAACGTTAGTTGCATAATATGTTCATCACATGTCGCCGGTCTGATAAGGCCATCTTGAGCCAACTTGGACCATATTGCGCCATCTTGGAGGCCATCTGAAAACACTTGTGGCCCTCTCGGCACCAGAGGGCGTGCGCAAGGGATGGTCCCCAAGTGCGGTCTCTTTCCACGCCAGGCTCGGGCGCGTCAGGTGTGGCTTGTTCGCAACCCAGACTGGGCGCGCGGTGCGCAGGGAGTGGTCCCTGAGCGCAGTCTCTATCCACGCTGGGGTCGCAGGGCGTGGCAGACGTGGCCTGACGCCAAGGGCGGGTGCGCAGGAATCTGCCCCTGCACGCAGGGCGCCAGGGCGGTCGCGGGGACGTCTCCAGCGATCGAGCTTGCCCCGCCTCCCTTTCGTTTTATATAGGCACACTACAGCGCTGGGGAACACCATTTTTTCACTGTATCCCCAAAATAATTATTTAATCAGTTTTTGGACATTACATTGTTTGAGGCACCTCGCTTCAGGACGCCATCCCTCAGGACCCCATCTTTGAACCACCGAGGATCGGGGGGTGATAGCACAGGTCTAGGCCTCTCAGATGGGGCCCGAGTAGATGGGGTCGTAGGATCGCGCCGCATCGCCGATGCATCGGCGGTGCGACTCAGTGTGGAGCCAGATTTTCTCCACGCCGACGTCGGCCGATGCATCGCCGACGTCGCTGATGAATCGGCGATGCGTCGGCGAAACGTCGGCGATGCATTGGCGATGCGGCGCGATCCTTCGACCCCGTCCATTCGGACCCCGTCTAGGATGCCTCTAACAGTGGGGGTGGCATCGATCCCCAGTCGCCCACTCCTCGCCGACAGGGGCCCGACAGCCCCATCCCCGCCCAGAAACGCGGGGATGTGCTATCGGGGGCCCATCGCCGATTTAGCCGCGATGTATCGCCGATTCCAAGCTTGTGCTTCCTCCGTGTGCCAGCCCCCCCCCCTGTCGCTACCCCCCCAGAATCTTCGGTTTCGGCGCGGAGGCATGGCTCTTGAGACGGGGTCTGGCGGACTCGTCGCCCCCCTCCGCGAAGGGCCTGACCAAGGCCGACGGGGCGCGCTCCGACAGGGTACGTACGTTTATGCAGTTGTTCTACAGGGCCAGAGTTCTGGGCCTCCCAGGTAGTGTACGAGCAAATGGGCTCGGACGATCGCTCCGCATCGCCGATGCATTTGCGGTGCGACTCGATGTGGAGCCCGATGTTATCCACGCCGACGTCGTCGATGCATCGCCGACGTCGCCGATGCATCGCCTATCCTCCGACCCCATCTATGCGGACCCCATCTAGGAGGCCTCTCGGCATCGCCGCGGGCGTTGTTCTTTTGAGACAGAAGGGCGGTTGTCCAGCAGTGGCGGCTGTCGGTCTTGGACAACACGTGCTGTTGGGCATCGTACCCGATGTTTCTATACCCGTTCCGGGCTTTCCAGAGGTCCCCGACGACGTGTTTTCTTCCATCCAGGAGTTTTCCCTCGATGTCGACGTTTGGGGCCCGTTTCCAGACACTTGGTCCTGGGCGAGGGAACTAGCCCGGGACACATGGGTCGAGACTTCGGTGGCAGCGCACTGGATAAACCATATCGCAGGGTGTCTGGGCACATCGACCACGACGACGACGTTGAAGACGACGATGACGAGGACGAGGGCGAGGACGAGGACGACGACGTCGACGACGTCGACGACGACGACGACGAAGACGACAACGGAACACCGACGATTTTCGACGATGGTGGCGGCGGCAGTTTGTTTGGAGGCGGCCTTGGGGCGCCCGGGGCGACCCTCTCCAGGGTCCCGAGGATGCGGCCTGGAAGCCGACGACGGTCGCCGCCCACGACGGCGACGAGGGCTGGGGCAGCGGCGGCGGCGGCGCCGACGGCGATGACGAGGAAGATTGGGACGACGGCGGCGAGGACGATCGGCAGTGGCGGTGACGAGTGCGAGCGAGATGCACGGGCCTGGGAGGAGGAGGGCGGGGAGGACGGCAAGGACGAGAGGGTTGCCCTGTGAAGGTGGTCGTCCCCCGCAGTTTCAAACTGCTCGACGAGCTGGAGAGGGGTCAGAAGGCGGAGCGCGCGAGCCAGGCGCGGGTCTTCTGCTTTTGCTCACTCAATGAATGTTTGCAGTAGCGCAGTAGCACGCGTTGTCGCAGCAGTAGCAGTCGGTGTAGCAGAATTGTGAGCGTTCAGATAACAGTAGCAGCAGTCTTAGCAGCAGGAAGGGTAGAAGCGATCAGAGTGGAGGACTCGTCAGGGTCATCATGTTTTTTCTTCGGGGGGTGGGCATGTTGAGTCCTTCTTGAGGCGTGTTTCGCTTGAGCGGCGCGAGCATCCGTTTGACATGTTGCGCCCGTTTTGTGGCTGGGGCTACCTCGCATGATATGTGCTATGATTGTTGCAGGAATTGAGGGTGCCTGTTTTTTGAAAGCGGTGTTTCCGCTTGCACGTTCACAATTATCCAGCTGTCTGCGGCAAGTCACGCCACGGCAGCCCAGCATTCTAGGTGGCGAATGTTCGAGGGTGGGTGAGCCGTGACGGTGATATTGGTGATGTTGGTAATGGATGCTGACGATGACGATGCTGGATATGGTAGTTGTGACGGTGAGAGTGTCGGTGATGATGATGTTGATGATGATTGTGCTGGTAAAGATGATGATGCAGAGTATGAAGATGACTGTCATGGTAGTGCTGTTGATGGTGATGGTCATGCTGGTGATTATAGTAAAGATGCTGTTCGGTATTAGTGTGATCATGGTGAGGATGATATTGATACTGCATATGTTCATGCTGGTGGCTATGATGACGATACTGATGATTGTGATGATGATGTTGACGATGGTATTGATGGCAATGATAGTGGTGGTGATGTTGATGCTGATTATCGTGACGCTGATGATGATGGTGAAGAATAATACGAGGAGGGGGAGGAGGAGGCGGAGGAGGAGGATACAGAGGATGAGGATCATGGTGACGGTAATGGTGATGATGATGTTGATGATGTTGTTGCTGATGATGTTGATCATCATGATTATGGTTATGATGGTGATGTTGCTTGTGATGATGATGATGACGACGACGATGACAATGACGATGACGATGACGATGACGATGATGATGACGAGGCAGGGGAGGAGGAGGAGAAGGAGGAGGAGGAGGAGGAGGGGGAGGAGGAGGAGGAGCAAGAGGAAGGCTGTCACATGTGACACCGGCTGTCTTACTCAATTGAATAGCTCTCATGGATCTCGTTGGGGCCGTCTTGGGGCTGTCTTGGCCTCCAGTGAGGTGGCCTTGGAAATCCCTTGTGGCCTTCTCGGCCGTCGTGGGGCCGTCTTGAGCCGTCGGCAGGCGTTTTAAGGCAGTCTTGGGTCCCATGGGAGGCCCTCTTTAGCGGTGTTGGGACCGTCTTGGAACCGTTTTGGATGCCTTTTGGGCCATCGTGGGATCGTTTTGGCCTTCTTGGGACCCTCTTCGGGGCCTCGTGGGTAGTCTTGGGGCCATCGTGGAGGTTTCTTGTACCGTGTTGAGCTGACTGAAGCCCGAACAGGTGAGAATGCGAGCATTTTCAAACAAAAAGAATAAGCACGGACCGTCTTGGGGTTTTCGTGGCCTCCCGTGAGGCACTCTTGGGGGTCCCTCGGGGCTCTTTTGGGCCGTCTTGGGGTCGTCTTGGCCGTAATGTGGCTGCCTGGGGACCGTCGTGGGGCCTTCTTGGGCCGTCGACAGGCCTTCTAAGGCAGTCGTGGGTCCCACGGGTGGCCGATAGGGGCCGTCCTGGAAAATTGTTGGGCCATCGTGGGATCTTTTGGGCCTTTTGGTGACCCTCTTCGGGGCCTCGTGGGCAGTCTTGGGGCCATCGTGGAGGTTTCTTGGACCGTCTTCAGCTTACAGAAGTCCGAAAATGCGAGATTGCGAACATCATTCAACCACCCTCGGAGCGTCTTGGGGTTGTTGTGGCCTCCCGTGAGGCACTCTTGGGGATCCCTTGGTGCCTTCTTGGGCCGTCTTCGGGACCACTTACACCGTCTAAGGGCTCTTTTGGGCCGCCTTGGGACCGTCTTGGCAGTATGGTGGCTGTCTTGGGGCCTTCTTGGGCCGTCGACAGGCCTTCTCAGGCAGTCTTGGGTTCCATAGGAGGCCCTCTAGGGCCGTCTTGGGGCCGTCTTGGATGCGTCCGGGCCATCGTGCGATTGTTTGGGCCTTCTTGTAACCCTCTTGGGCGCCTCGTGGGCCGGCTTGGGGCCTCGTGGAGGCTTCTTGGGCCGTTTTGAGCTGACGAAAACCAGAAAAGACAGGAATGTGAAAATTATCCAATAATCCAATGCAAATCCATGATTGCGGTTTCTTCGGAACCTGTTGGAGATCTTGTGGCCCTTCTGGGCCCTCTTGGAGGCATCTTGGGCCGTCGCGAAGCCATATCGGGCCGCCTTAGGGTCATCGTGGACCGTCACCGAGGCATTCGGGGCCATTTGGGTGTCCTTGGTTGCATGCATGGGCCGTCACTCCGTCTTGGAAGCCTGGCACGCGGATCCATAGTTTTAACTTTGGGATCGTGGCCCTGGGAGCGCGGATCCATTATTTTGTATGAGGGATCGTGGCCTCGGGAGGGGGGGCGATGAGTGCTGGTGGACGTTGGTGTGGGGGTGGGGGCTTGTAGAATACAGAAACGCTACCAGGAAGCTGTCCAAAGTGCAGTTGCTGCAGGAATGTAAGGCGGCTGTCTTTCAAAGCGGGGCTCCCGCCTTTACGTTTGCAAACATGATGGTCTAAAACCCGCAGGCGCCCAACAGCCTTTTCGAGTGGAATGGAGGGCGGCGCCTTCGAGAGTGCGGCTCTCGCCGGAGACTGTGGCGCACAGCTGCAACTCTGGCAGCTTGGCGTCACTGTCGCATCCGCAACCGCAGAAAGCCGCGCCCCGCCGATCGGCATGCGACGGCTCCTGCTGTGAGACCCCTCCGCGCAGCAGCCCCCTCTGGGCGGCGCGCTGCCGCGCGCGCGCGCGCTGGCGCCTCGGCCTAGCGCCTCCGCAAGGGGGCCCCTCACGGTGCGGTGTGACCCCACCGTGTGGTGAGTCCGTGGGGGCTCCGGGGGGCTGAGGGCGGCTCTCCTCCAAGACGGGGCCTGGCGTCGCAGGCGATCTTTCTCCCTTTTTTTATTGGTTCTGTCTTGCCGTTTCTTTGCTGGTTCCGTCGCCGTTTGTTTGCCGGTTCCGTCGCCGTTTTTGTTGAACTGGTTTTGGCTCCAGTTCCTTTTTTGGAACCAGCTTTTTGCCGTTCCCGATTGCCGTGTTTTTTTTGTACCGCTTCCATGTTCAGGAGACACGTTTGCGGAAACGGTGGAAAATTGGCTCTGCCATTTCAAGTGCCCACACATCCCGGACTCCGCCAGAAAAGTCTGGCCGTGCAGACAAAGGGGGGGAATCCTCGGCACACGCCCCAAGAGGGCTATTCGGACGCACCCGCATCGAGGATGGACGCCCCCCCATCGTATAATATCCCAGGGTTGGGCCCCAAATGTTTGGCCCAGCCGAACGCCTCCCAAAGCCTGCGGTAGGGGTCGGCATATCCCTTGCTATGGTGCGACCACGGCCGTGCAGCCTGGAGAATGGAGCGAACGGCGTGAAAGAGCAGGAGCAGGACCGGGAGCCAGCGGGCGGTCCGTGGAGGGTTCCTCCACGGTTTCGTCGGGGACGCTCCCGGACTCCCGGGGACATCTTGCAAGGCACAGCCCCTCGGCGCAGCCCAGCGGCCGCGCGGCCGTTTGCCAGAATTTGTCAGGGTGCGCGCTGGACGCAGGACGCTTTCCCCCCTTGTGCGCCGTGCGCCCGGCCTGCTCCGAACAAGTGTGATAAAAAACTCCGAACAAGTTTTTGTTTTATTACACTTGTTTTTGATCACATTTGCTCGGAGCATCGTTGCCGTGCCAGTGCAGCGCATGATTGCGACAATGACTCGCGGCCGCAGGAGCCAGAGCAGGAGCAGGAACCAGCGGGGCAAGCGCCCGAAGGGCATGCTCGTGCCTCCCCCCCCTGTGCCAGGGCGCCCCTCTCATGTGGCGAGGGGGGAGGCCCGCAGGGGCTCATGAGGACTCGGCCCCGCGCGGAGGGGGGCAGGGGGAGGGGGGTTATGATGTTCCAACCTACTTCAGCCTTGACCACCAGAAGCACCAGAAAATAGTACCGAAGCTCGAGGGTTGTCACGTGTCAGACCCTGGGAGACATTCGTCCAACACTGTTTCGACACTCGTTCGACACTTTTCCGGGTGCTCGAAATTATTTCTGGCATGTGGTCCTTAAGTACGATGGGAACAACATGAGAGGGGGGAATCTTCTTAGAAGCACCCATGTTTCCTAGAAGGTGCGGGCCCCATCTAGAGTTAGGATGCGCAGGTCCGCTAGACTCTTGAAACCACGAAATCCAGAAAAGGCTTCTGAAAGGCTCCCAAAAGGCTATGTAAGCTATGTGTGTGAAAGCCTTTAAAAAAGCGTGTTCAAAGCTGTTTGTTTGCTATCTTGATTCTTCGTGTTATGCATGTTGGTACGGATGACCTCCTAACATACTGCTCTCACGACACATGCGCTTGCCGAGGGCAGGGGGGAAGGGGAAGGGGAAGGCGGAGGAGGAGGGGGGAGGGGAGGGGAGGAGGGAGGGGAGGGGGGAAAGTGAGGGAAGAGGGACGGTCCGAGTTGGGAGCGAACACAAGGAGGCAGAAGGGGCAGCGGTCAAGGTTGGGAACGCCATGGAAGAACAACCAGGAGGCAAAAGGACAAAGGACGACTAAGGCAAGCAAGTGAACGAGGAGCACCAACAACTGAGAGGGACAAATCGGAAGGGCGAGGAACGGCATCAGGAGGGAATGTGTCTGACTCCTGCGCCGCGCGGGCTCCTCCGCCCTGAGCGCGGCCAGCGCGCGGAGGGCAGCAGCACCAGCTGCCCTCTCGGGGGGCAGCGGTCGCCCTCCCTTGGACGGGGCGGACCTCCCCGCCCAAGAAAAAAAAAACTCATGTCGCCGAGCCGCCGCTGCCACCCGTCGAAGCCCTTCTAGGGCCTATTTTGAAGCTCTGGGCCTTCTAGGGCCTATCTTGAAGC